GAGTAAGCCAAGTAAAAGAGCAAAGAAGAAGCAGGAAGCTGTAGAAAAAGCTAGGAGGCCCTTTTTGGAACAGGCAGCGAAGGAAGAGGAGTTGTCTGAAAAGAAGAGGAAGCGAATCAGCGAGGAAAATGAATTACCAAAGTCTTTACAGCGGTTTACTAGGAAGAAAGCAAGAGCATAATCGTGGGCAAATTTTGTTTGCTATGATCCTTTACCACCATATCTAGAGAAAAGGTCAAATTTGTTGTATTATATTGGGAGTGTCCTACCTATTTTGAGTAGTTGTAGTTTTGTTGTCGAAGGTACGGTTATGCAGGGCCTGTTGAGTTGGGTCTCATCAATTTTGAGGTGCATACGAGTTTTCAGTAATTTACCAGGCGTTCTTTTTCTCAAGCGAAAGAAAGCGAAAGGAATAATGATCACTATCTGAAGTTAAACCGAAATGCATTATATAGGCGGTTGTCTACATACAGGATGGCCCTGAAAATGGTCGAGGTTTTGTGCGCAAGAGAGATGCTTAATAATTATATATTTAAATGTCCAATAGTACTAGTGGCTTGCAAGAACAAGGGGCTGATTGAGCAGGGGTTCAGATGTTGATTTTTTGGAAATATTCAAATTGAATTTGACATAATTTTTGTGTAGATTAAATAGAATGTTTTATCTTGCCTGCTAAGTGCGGGACACTATGGCTGGAGCATATTTATGATTCATTAGATGCATCCATTTTCTACCCGAGTTTGCCAGCCAGCCAGCCGCCTCTTTTTTCCATTCGTGGTAAGGCCCTGGAGCACGGTCACTTTACACCATGACGACTAGGAGCATATTAGATGCATCCATTTAAATTGCCTGATTTATTAAGCAGCATCTTCCACCCTATGCATCCCGCGTCTGCCTCCTCGGTCTTCCGTTCGGTAACGCCTACCTCACATTAGAAAGTCTTTTAGGTTAGAACCTCTAAGCCTCCGAATTAATTCATGCCCAGATTTACAAATTTTTAAGTTTGTGTTTGAATTGAAGGATTTGGATGGATTTGATTTCAATTCCTCCACTTAAATCCCCTCGAGTGTTTGAATAACTTGGGAAGAATTTTCTTCAAAAATTTTATAAGTAGGTTTTTTTTTTTTTTTTTTGGTCCATCCTTCTTTATACATTTTCCATTTTCAACTGTCGGTGCATGATTTGAACCTGAACCTAATAGGAAAAAAGACTCTAAGAGTCCTCAAATGAGTGAATTTCAAATTTACTAAAAAACCTAACATGTCATTTCATGAATGTTGATGTGGTATGTTTATTGGTCAAAAAAAAGGTGTGAAAAGGTAAGGAAAAAGACGGGGCAAGCGATTGTGGCCACAGATGATAGGAAATGTGTCTTGGATAGGCACGTGTTAAAGGCATTTTATAACCTGAAACTGTTCACAGATGATAGAAAATGTGTCTTGGATAGGCACGTGTAAAGGCATTTTATAACCTGAAACTTGAACAGCCGTTGGATGTTGAAATTAAGTGGAAGGACCATATGAAAAATTGGGGGGATTTAAAAGCATAAATGGGAAAGGTGAAGCTCATAAAATAATCAACTGCCAAAGGCAGAGTGTCGCAAGCGAAACTAAGGGCATTGAAAAACTAAGCGAAACTAACCTAACATGTCATTTCAAATCTCTTTTACTTATTTCTGTCTACATTAACGAATCCATCCTTTTATGCATATAGATCGAAGAGTTAAATGCTGATTGTTGCTTGTCGCTTTCAATTACTAACAACTACTCCTTAGTTATCGCCGTTGGTCAAAGTTAAAGAAAAAAAAAATGACCTTGATTCAAAAAAACCTGTACGTATATTGACAGTTAATTTGCCAAAAAAACAGTTGTGACCAAAGGCGGACACACGAACAGAGGAGAAAGGGAAAATGGAAATCTAATTATTAACCCTAAAGTTTGCAGGGGGTATTCAATCTTTACCCCTCATGCTTACCTTAAATATAAATTCCTTTCGTAATGTAACAACCCTTAGCCAAACAATGACTTTGGATTAAATATGAATTTTAAAACCACTCATTTCAAATCCATTCATCTTAAATACTTGGACAGCGACCCTCGATTTTTTGCACCATTCAGGAAAACCAGACTTATAAACTGGGTGCTTTGGCATTTAAAAGTTTATGATTATTTTATCTACAATCTCAATTTTAGTTTCTTGGTGTATTATGTTAATTATATTTATGATTGCTCATCTACAAATTTGATACCGATTTGAAAGTCACCACGTTACGTATAAGATTACTTATATAATTTCTAAATTTAAATTGAAATCTATCACGTCAATTATGCAACGATTCATGTTTTTTGTAGCATTATATTAAATCCATCAAATCACTAATTTATTTATCAAATAAAATCAGAGTAAAATTTCTAATGAATAAGTGGGTTACTATCTCTTTATGGCTTTGTTCCATAAAGTACTCCACAGAGATTCTTTGACCAAAGTAATTGTGATTACTTTAGAGTGGGTTGAATGGGTAATACCAATTATGGGTTGAATGGGTAATGCCATAAATTACTATCTATTTATGGTTTTCCTCCATAAAGTACCCATTTTCCCGTAAACTAATTTTATTTTAAAGAATCGTAAACTACAAGGTAATCGCAATTACTTTGCAGAAGCATTCTTTTTGACAAACTACAAGTAATCACAACTACTTTATTACGTTGTAGAAGCATGCTTTGACTCCACGGATAAACCCAAGTGTTTTGAAGTTACCAAAGATTGTTGATAAAACAAATTGAAATGTACCGAAGAACGAGGCCCTTTAGAGGACAGGGGAAGCTCGTCTAGAAAAATTGGGAACTATCAGAAATTTTTTCCTTGCCAACTTGGCCTGGGGAGCTGCTTTCCAGTTGATGCGAATTTTTGGGTGCAAACAAGTGTTCATGAGTAGAGCTGTTAAGCCAATCGAGTAGTTCGAAAGCTCGTTAGAGCTCGGCTCGTTAAGGCTCGAGCTCGGCTCGTTAATTTTGGTTAACGAGTCGAGCTCGAGCTCGAAACATGCTCGTTTAGTTAACGAGCCGAGTAAGCTCGGCTCGTTTGATACTCGAGTAGCTCGTTAGAACTCGTTAATGAAGGGCATATTTGTCATTTTAAAAATTAAAATTATATAAATTAAAAATTATAGGTTTTTATTAATGTTAATTTGCACGAGCTCGAGTTCGAGCTCGTGAAGCTCGACTCGTTTGTGATAAACGAGTCGAGCTCGAGTCACATGTACATTTAACGAGTTGAGTTCGAACACATTTTAAAACTCGTTTTCTTAACGAGCTCGAGTCAAGCTCGGCTCGAATTAAACTCGAGTCGAGCTCGGCAGCCAAATACTCGGCTCGACTCGGCTCGATTAACAGCTCTATTCATGAGTTATTGAGGGGTTTACGTTTTATTTCTTCTAGAAATACAATGGGACCCATAAACAACCGCTTCTATCTTATATCTAGTAGCTCATTTAATAGCTACATCGTGCCCGGCCCCATCTTGGCCAAATTTCCTTTTGCTCTTCCCACCATGCACAGTTGAGTCAGCTTTCTACCGTAGATGAAACCCTTAAATATTATAAAACTTACAAGATTAGGACAGTTTCATAATTCAATTAATTACTTAAATTTAAAAAAATCAAATCTTAATATATTCAATTTATTTGATAATTAAAAATTAAATATCTGAATTAATTAAATGACACTAAATTTTCTAGATAAAATTTACTTTCAAAATTAAGTGATAAACTATTCACTTATAATTGGATGTGATATACATTCAAATATATTATATAATTTATAATATACTCAATTTTCATACTTCAATTTTATCAAACACATTCTAGATTTATCTAATTATTCAAAATTTTCATACTTCAATTTTATCATTTAATAAATTCAAACTTCAATTTTTATATTTCAATTTTATCAAACACATCGTAAATTTATCTAACTATTCTTTTCTACTCCAGTTCATTCATTTTTTTTCACTAGGGAGCGGGCAAAGAAGAGAAAGGGTAAAAAAAAAAAAAATACTTGTTGACCTGCTAATTCGTAGAACCCACCCCAATTATTTTCGAAAAATAATATAATTCGCATTTTTTGACCTTGGCATAGGAGGGTCGACCACTCACTACTACAGGACCGAGCTAAGGTTAGAGGCTCGAGGACTCGTGAATACTCGATCTGTCCTGTATATTTCTTTAATTTTATACCTACACATAGAGACAACTAATTGTGAAAGTCTTTAATTATTTTACAAGATTTATTTGTAGAAGGCATGACCTTTTTTTTTTCTTGGATGAAGCTTAGTTGATTTAAAATTTATTAAAAAGGGTAATACACATCACATTTAGGTTTTGGTTGAAATTCTTATATTATCGAATTCATTACGCCTGATGTTTAAACTTCATATTTGGCTCATAAATATTTGACTAAGAATATTGAAATTGAGGAACAATTTTAACTCTTTATCGAGTTGTAATGGAGATTGTATAATGAACTGTGATTTAATTTTATTAGTTTTAGACGCTTCTTGTTTTCTTAAAAAAATACAGGCACGATTTTTTAAAAAAAAAAAACACTAAAATCTGTGTTGATTGTTAAATGAATACAAGATGAAATTGATAATTATGTTTTTTAAAAAAAAAAAATTAAATGATGGCCCCGGCCACCTATAAGAAGCCAACCTGCCTCCAGATATTGTTGGGAAAGTTAACTGGCAATTCTTAGTACTTACCACATCGGTGAAAAAAATAATACTAATAGTAGTAAAAAAGAAATTTAGTGCAAAGAAAGAGAAGTCGGAAATGGCGATCGGAACCGAAGTGAGCGTGGGTGTCATAGTCGCCGGCTCCTCCCTCGCCAATTGCAGAACCACTTTATCCTTGGTTCAGTTCCACCTTCCACTACTCCGACCACGCCTGCCGTCGGCTGGGCCCTTACACGTTTACCTCCCTCTAGCTCACGTTTCCAATCTTATCAAGTCTGGTTATTGCATTCAAACTTCTCAGGGGAAAAATAACTATACTCGTTCGTGTAAGCAACGCGCTTTTTTCGGAGACGGCGGCTTGGAGCTGCACGATGCCGGGGCCACGGCTTTGGTTGTCGCCGGAGCTTACACTCTCGTCTCGACTTTTGATAAACTCACCTCCGCAAATCTCATCCAACAGGTTTCTTTTCTTTTTTGTGGTCAAGGAAAATAATTGCGAGTATATATTTTTTTTGTTTATGTCTTCGTAGTTATTCTGTACACAGTTTGTTTGTTGTTTGTACGCTGGGAAAAAAAAATCAAATTTTGGATAACGACGATAACAAACTTGTCATTACAAAGTTTTAGTACGAGCAAATTACCCGAAAAGCCATTAAGCTTTTTAAATAATTGAGTTTTGATCACTCAGTCTTTACGAATATGTATTTATCCATTAACCTATTAGAAGTGTGAATATTGAATCACTCCGTATATTTGTATTTTTACCGTTAAGTCCTAGATCTGGTAGACGGTGAAGATGTAAAAAGCCACGGATTGGAAAGTGCTGGATCTAAGACTTAACAGTGGTTTCCATGTACTTTTAATGGTTTAGTGAGTAAATACGGACTCTGAAAAATTGAGTAGTCAAAGCTCTATTATTGGAAAAGTTTAATAACCACCGGGATGATTTGCTCTTTTAGTATTGATATCATCATATCAGGCTGTGTGTCCCGTGAACCCAAAAAGGCGCGACAGGAAGTGTAATTGAGGCAGCGACTGGTTGACCCAGAAGAATACATAAAAAGCAGTGAATGATCTTTGGGTAAAGGTCACGAACGATTGAATGAGGATGGCTCGATTAGTCATCCGATGCACTTTAGGAGGCTAAAATGAGTGCTGGATAGCTTTTGCAATTTCACCTGGCTAAGAAAATGGTGGAACCTACTCCTCCAAGTTTTGAATAATAATAAGTAGACACGATAGATGATGATCACAGTTTTGTTCTTTCAAATGTTGCCTATTTTCATCAGAAATTATGTAAAACTATTGTTGGTTTTAATTGAATTGCAGGAGTATAGAAGTTGACTGCTCAGAGGTCGACTACCATTGATGACAGATTTTCTTCTTCCTGTAATTTCTTCTTATTCCCGTGAGAAAACACGTGAAAGAAACAATTTAGATCCGAGATAACCACAACGAGGGCCATAATTATCGCTCTATTCAGAAATTAAAGACAAAAAAGTACAAGGAAGCAACGGATCACGAACTCAAAATCTTCGGGAACATAATGCTGTGTCAGAGTCACAACAAACTCAAAACACATTGCTTATTGTATATCTACAAGGACAAATCAGTTTACAAATGTGAGGCAAAAACCATCTTATGAGGCCTCGTCTTCAAAATTTTCCCCTGAAGGCTAGTAGAGCAGCAAATGTAGAACTGAAATTGATCAGAAGCGGGCACATAGGGAAAACTGAAAGAACAGGGAGAAGATCGTGGTTTCTTGAAGAAGGAAGGGAAAGAGAGATGATTTGAGGTTTGTTGAAGGAAGAGGTGTGGGGATGACTTTTGTGGTGAAGGGAAATTTTATGTTTTAGGAAACTCAATAGCTACTGAGGGAGTGTATATGAGCATTAGTTTATTTGAATAAAAGGCATTCCTGCATTATTGGCCACAATCATCGGAGTCAAGAACGTGTCTTATTTCTTCCATTAGACATGGGGCAGTTTGGATAATGGTTTATTTAATCTCCAACTGTTTATTGTAATACTCGAAATTACTTGCAGACTTCATATAATGAAATGAAAGAATATGAACTGCATTTGTTTCACTTAGTTTGCCGGTTTTATGTTGTTTCCATCTTTCTGACAGAATTTGAGCCGAAAACTGGTCCACATACTGTCTGGATTGCTCTTCATGGCTTCCTGGCCAATGTTCAGGTTCTGACATTCCTCACAATACTAATTACATTATATAATGTTCTCCACAGTCAACTCCTGTTATTGTTGAATACTTCTGCTGATTATTTACATCTTAGATTAGCACATCCACAGGAGCTCGATACTTTGCTTCGCTGGTGCCCCTCATAAACTGCTTAAGGCTTGTTGTCTATGGCCTTTCATTGGCTAAAGATGAGGGACTCGTAAACTCTGTCACTCGAGAGGGGAAGCCTGAGTAATCTTGCAGCCTTATATCCTTATTCCTTCTGAGACACATTACGAGTAAATAATCAGACTGGATTTGCATATTTCTATTTTCCATGCAGGGAATTGCTTCGAGGTCCCCTTTATTATGTTATGATACTAATTTTAAGTGCAATATTTTTCTGGCGTGACTCTCCCGTCGGAGTGGTTTCAGTGTCAATGATGTGTGGTGGGGATGGTATGAGCCAAACCTATATCTAATCTAGATCCTCAGTACTTCTGGTGTCTTCCATCTGACAATGTGATTTGTAGGCATTGCTGATATCATGGGAAGGAGATTTGGATCCTTAAAACTACCTTACAATCAACAGAAGAGTTGGGCTGGTAGCCTCTCCATGTTTGTACTTGGTTTCTTGATTTCTATTGGGTGAGTTGAAGCATATCTTTTGGTAATGTGGATTTGCATTGCAAGCTATCTTGCATTTATGGTTTTGACTGATGACTTTCTATTCCCTTGTCTTTGTAGGATGCTGTACTACTTTTCAGCCCTTGGATGCTTTCAGTTGGATTGGAGCTGCACGATACAAAGAGTTGCCTTGGTATCCTTGGTAGCAACACTGGTGGAGTCCCTCCCAACTACAGGAATAGTAGATGATAATATCTCTGTTCCTATAGCAAGCATGGTAACTGCGTTTTTGAGTTTTGGTTACTAGCTGGTCAGAGAGAATACCGTGTTACATGCGTGTCATAATTTTTCTGTTGGCACTTCAAATACTTCCCTTTTCAATATTTCCTGTTTCGTTTTTTTACTTTCTGGTGCATATTTTTCTTATGTTTTAACCTCCAAATTTCCTTAGCTCATTGTATTTGGGAACAATAAAGAAGAAAAGGAGTAATGGTTGGTACCTCCTTATTTGAAGGTTGCTATGCTGAAAGCTAAGCAAGGTGCGTCCAATATCGCAACAATCATAACATTGGATTAACGGAATCAAACAAAGCACTTGCTTCACTCTTCTATTTGATACTGGATGCTAAGATAGTATCGCAGTATGCACAATCTAGTAAGCCGTTTGGATTGCAAGTTTTCGGGGGGGTTTTTGTTTAAAAAAAAAATACTGTAATAATGTGATGTAAGTGAGGCAAAAAGGTGATTGAAAATTTTTGGCAATCCAAACGAGGCATTATATTAGGATCTTGAGGGTACATTGCTCCTGGGGTAATTACGTGCTTCTAGCGTTCTTGCCGAGAAAAACTCTCGACTCCAGATTTGTGCCTACTGGTGGGACTGGAGGCCAAAAACACGAAGAAAACAACAAATGGATGAAACAAGTTTAGACCGATCAAATTTCATTGAGTAACTGGTCACCTGGGCAAGAAATAAAACCAATTGGAGTCATTTTAAAATCTGATGGATGGACTCCAAGCACACCTATTTCAATTTTGTTCATGTGTTTTCATGTATGGATGAACTCCAATTATCGTCCATCTGTTTTCATGCAATAAAATTGGCAATTTAATTGCAAACTTGTGACTTCTTTAGAAATTTTTTTTTTCGCTAACATTAGTACTTCAAGTAGCCCTTTATTTTTTGGAGAACAAATCCTTGAGTCAAGACTTAAGAGGACTGGTAGAAATGAGAAGGCAGGCGGGGCCTAGCAATCGCCACCAGGGGATTGGCCTTGGGCATGGTCATGCCATAAACCTCACTGGTATCAATGTCTTGAGGTCTCAATCCATCAGCTGGCCTCCAATCGAAGCAATGAAACAGCCGAGCCAATGCCATTAGCACCAGCGTCACCCCCAGCGGCGCGCCGGGGCACTTCCTTTTCCCAGCACTAAAGGGCAATATCTTGAAGTCGGATCCGTGGCTTATTTCCACTCGGCTCCCATCTCCTGTTAAATGCCTCTCCGGCCTGAATTCTTCCACATCGTCCCATATCTTGGTGTTCCGTCCTAGGCCGTGCGTGTTGATGAAAACCCGTGTCTTGGCAGGGATGTGGTATCCATTGATCGTGGTGGCTCGAACTGACTCATGCGGAATGAGAAATGGACCGGCCGGGTGCATTCGAAAAGTTTCACGGACAACGCATCGTAGGTAATTTAGGTGGGCTAAATCAGATTCTGTGACCATCCGATCACGTCCGACTACGGTATCAAGCTCTTCTTGGATCTTCTCGAGGACGGTTGGATGTTTGATGACTTCTGCCATTGCCCATTCATTGGTGACAGCAGAAGTATCGGTAGCAGCAGCTATCATATCCTAAGCATTCAAAACCGTTTTGACTTAGAAATCATGTGCGTGTGTGTGTGTGTATATATATAAAGATTGTCATGGCGGTCATATAACTTGAAAGAATTTGTAGCAGGGAAACATTTGATTAATTTTCAGTGGATTGCTGATAATATTCAATTACCAAACCAGATTTGTAGAAAGAATGCCTTTACTATTTGTGCAACGTAAAAAGAGGGTGGCGATAGTAGATGTTTGTGATGGATGATCAAAGGATATTAGTACTCAACCTGAATCAGTGCTTTGATGTCCTTATCATCTAGGTGTGCTTCTCCATCTTCACCTGCCAAAGACAATAGCACGTCAACAAAGTCAATCTCTGCCTCATCTTTTACTCCTCCAGTTTGCAATTTCTTTCTATGTTCTTGAATGATCTTTGAGTGAAAATCATCCACCCTCTTTTCCACTTCCCTCATTTTCCTCTCACAACCATAAGGGTCTATCCACCTCCAAAACGGCAGATAATCTCCCAAATAAATCAAGCCCAAGAGCCAAAACAATTCGTGCGTTATGTGCATGAACTCCATTGCCTCTTGTGGTCCAGCTGATTCTTCCCCAAAATATTGCTTTCCGAGCAGCATTCTAGTCACGTTATTCATGGAAAAAGCACCCAGAACTTCCCTCAGATTTATTGGTTCTTCCTTGCGGGCCTTGCTCCAAACATCTTCAACTAGATGCTGAGCTTCATCGGCCCGATGCCTTGAAAATGACTCGAGTCTTTTTGTTGTCAGTAGATGTTCCATGCAAATCCTCCTCATTCTCTTCCATTTCGGGCCTAGCGGAGCCAATGCCACGTCTCCACAGCCATAGGCCAGGTGAACAGCTGCAAGAGTCCTCGGCCGAGAGGCGAATACATCGTCCTGATGGACAAGGATTTCGCGTATAATATCGGGATCGTTGGTGGTGATGGCATCAATGCTCCCTAGTCGAAGGTACACTAGAGGTCCGTATTTCTGACACAAAGAAGCCAAGTCCCTATGTGGTAATTGACTCAACTGAAGAAGGTTGCCGATAATCGGCCAACCGGGAGGGCCTGGTGGAAGCCTTCTAGAATTGTTTGATATTCTGAACCAAGACTGAAATACATATGCAAGAAAATGTAGGCACAGAATAATGTAAATTAAGGTGATTAGATCCATCGGTGTTCTCAGGGAAGGTACCTCAAGGGGCAATTTCCCAGAAGTTGAATAAGTACGAGTGGTACATGATGTAAGGTTTAATGAGACAAAATGAAGTTAAAAGCGTTGTTGGTTTCTACATGTTCTTTCTGCCTGATGAGGCATGTTGATATTAGGAAGATGACACAGGCGGATTAGTTAGACCATCACATTGGCATGGCCTGATCATTTCTTGGTATTTAATTGAATGACGAGGCAAATTAACGAGTTAAAAATCAAGTTTTCGTAATGTTTACTCCTAATTCGGAAGCAATAACATTTGCATGGTTCCTTAACCGCTTAGATATAGGTAGTTTTCTTGCAGGAATAAGAAGTTTGGACTGTCATACAAGTTTCTTTTCCCACGTTCACAGCGTATAGATTATAGACATGAACTCTTCTGACAGAATTACATATAGCGCACATTTTGCTTAAAAGCAGCTGGGCTTTCGCTTCCTCTTCTATCTCTGCTCACCTAAGTCGATCAACTTTTGAGGGTTCCTCAGCCAGATGCTGGGAAGAGAAGAAATCCTAAAGGGCAGCAACTGGATGGGACAGGCCAAAAAAGGAAGAAAAAACATTTCAAAGAACGATATGTAAAGTTGGGCCGATGGGATGGGAGGTCAAGAATTCAAGCACAATCTCTTTGATCATGATAAATGGACCATCTACATGTTCTATTTCGCCAGTCCAACTTAAGTAATTTTCTTTGTTACTTTGAAGCCTTTTCCAAGCATTGAAAAGTTTTGTGCTTAGTGAAAATTTAATTAAACATTTGTAAATCCAAAAATAAAATGGACATTTTGGATTTTGGACTAATCCTTGTAACATTTAGCCTGTTAACTGGTTAAGACCTCGTTTGAAATTGCGGTGATTTATAAAGAAACACTTCTGACACAAGTATTTTTAACAAAAGTACTTTTAAATTACTAAACACTGAACAATTGAAGTTACAAAAAATTAGTTATGAAACACTTTAAAAATACTTTTAATACTTAAAAGTGCTTTTTTTTTTCTTTTTTCTTTTTTAAATGCACCGCAAACTCAAACAACATGGCCTAAGACTTAAGACACCCAAGACCGACCAAGCCAAAATTCAATTAATTACTACTAGAGAGTTACACAGTTCTGAAACTTTGTTGGATCCCAAAGCAATAAGATGAAAAAAGTGGGGCCGTAAACGAATGTTGACGATCGTGTCTCCTGATCAGCACGTGCGATTGGCATTTTCGAGAATCTCAGAAAAGGGGTGACCCCTTTTTGGCCTTTTCTCCGCCACGTATAAAAACCCCAAAATATCACTTACTTTGTCAAAAAAAAAAAAAAACCATTACTGGTTGCTCATCAAAACTAGCTCTCCTTCATCAGAAACTAGAATCTCCATCTCACTTCACTGTACTGGAATTCTGGAAAGTGAACTCTACTAGACATGAACTGTCTCCAGAATCTTCTAAGGTTCCACTTCATTTCCACGCTTTCTTTCAGTTCATAATTATTTCGTAATTCCGGTCTGATCAATTCTCACTCGTTTGAGATTTTTTTTTATTTCGTTAATTTTTGGGCAGATTTTCTGCTTTGCCTTTGCAAAGCTTTAATAGAGGTCATACCGGAAAATCTTCGTGCTCAGTTAGCATCACTGTAAGATTAGTCTGCCACTAACGAAGCAAGTAGGAATATATAGAAATTTAGATTGATATATGTACAGTTGCATTCTCAGTTTGAATTTATTGCTTTCTTGTGTGCAGATGGTGCCGACAGCTCCGCAGTTTCGGCATAATATTGTGGGAAAGGTAATTTTTGAATGAGCAGATTAAAGAATTGTGCGGTTTGTTTGTTGGTGATTAAGCTCAAGTAATTGTAAACTTTTAAATGTAGATCATGTAATTTAGATTCATTCGTGTATAAATTAGAGTATGGATTTCGACGTGTATTATTGTATCCTCTTCAGTCATAGGAAGGACTGTATGTTAAATTGTAGATTCTTCTTTGCAAACGTAAAAGAAACTTTTCTTGAGCTGAAAATGTTCCTATGAATCTTGCCTTTATAGTTAACATCTGGTTTTTCACTTCTTTTTTCTGCCACTGGTGTGGATGAACGGAAGTGGCACTGGGTATTTGTTGTTTCAGCAATTACATCTAAGTTGTGTTCAGCGTACTTTTGCACCTTTTTTAAGTTCGCGAAATTTGACATGTTCATCTGCTACTTATAATTCTTAGTTGTGGTTTCAGTTTTAAGTTTTCTTTGGTGCCTCTCCATTCTATAATGTGACCTACCTTGAATTTTTATTTTTCTTAATCTTTCCAGTAAAAAAAAAAAAGAAATTTTTTGTGTCATATACTCATTACTTGGAGTAACTTTGACACGGTTTTGTGGCCTCATTAAATACTGTGCTTGATAAGCTCTATACCCTGCCCTTATTGTACTGAAATTGGGGATAATGTGCTTTAAGTTTCATTATGTACCAAGTTAAACTACCAGAAGATCGTCCCTCTCAATGAGATTTCATTTAAAGGATATGTACTAATTGAGCAAAATACCACCTTCCATGTTAAGTCCTACTAGGTGGTCAATAATGAAGAATACCTTAATGAGCAATTTATTAGCTGTGCATGTGTGAAATTACAGCTTCCTGGATACTTTAATGAACTACTTTTCTTCTTTTTCACTATTTCTTGGCTTTATGATGGGTACTTTAATGACAATAGTCTGTTACTTATTTTAAGGCTATATCTGGTTCTACATCTAGTGCTGAGATGGATGGTGCTAAAGTGGACGAGGAAAAATCTGATGTATATACCCACAACATGACCAAGGCCATGGGCGCCGGTAATCTCAGTTTTCATGTGATTTATGTGATCTGACTTTAGTAAACTGAATGGAAAACATTATATAGGAGGGTGCTTTGGAGGTGATCTGTGTTTAAAGATGATAATAGAAAAGATTTATTTGCAATTTCCTTCTTACTGTGAGAATTGTCAAAGGTTTACTGAAACTACACAAACTGGCACTTCATTGTTGTTCTGTTAGCAGTTGCATTCTTTAACAATGAAAAGACAACTATACTTTCTTTCCCAGTCTATCTGTTGTAAACTTAAGCAATGTGAGTGGCCACAGATTTTGGTCTATCCGATTCACTTTGTCAGGCTTATTTTGCCTTTCTTCCATATTATTGTTTTCTCTGGGATCAACAGTTTTGTCTTACTTTGTTAAAATGTTTATGTCAATACAGTCTTGACTTACAGACATGAACTAGGAATGAACTACAATTTCATTCGTCCAGATTTGATTGTGGGGTCATGCCTGCAGGTGATAAGGACTTCTTTGCAGCTTTTAGTTATCTCGTGTATTATTGTTTTAACTCTTGTTTCTGCTCAATAAAATTCAGTCTCCTGAAGATGTTGACAAGCTTCGCAGCATAGGGGTCAAAACGATTTTTTGTTTGCAACAAGACCCTGATCTTGAGTATCCTCAAAAGTGGTTCATATATCTAATTTGTCCTGTATCAATGAAGAGCTTAGTTATTTTCATAACACATGGGTTTATATGCTACATAAAATGTTAAATCAAATTCCAAACATCTTCTCAGTGAGATGTTCTGTTTGACGCCTTAATCAGTACACTTAAGATATTTTGGGGTCGATATTAAAGCCATTCGCGAGTATGCTAGCTCATGTGTTGACATTGAACACTTGCGAGCTCAAATAAGGTAGGTAAAGAAAAAAGGTTACAGATTGTTCTCAAAATGGTACTTTCTTGCTTGGAGGTTATTCACTTTTCTCTAGGACTTTCTAAATACTTGTTCAAGAATTTTTTTTGCTCCATGATAAGGAACTTTCAGATATTTGTTGCATTATTTTCTTAGCAAGTAGAAGAAAGATATTGTTTAATATGCAAGCAAAGTAGCTTACTAAAGCTTAGGAAGCTCACAGTATTATTTCGCCCTTCTCTGGCTGGTTATAAGAAATCTTTCATAAGGAAAAAACTTGCTTTTTTGCATTTTGGTGAACTGGCTTACTTCTATCAATTATATCTATCTATCATGTTCCATTTTCTGTCATATCAAATAGCAACTTATTGGCCAGTATGGAGAGTATATATGTGTAGAGCAGAGAGAGTCTGGCCACACATAAAAGTTTCTCTGGAGTGTGGTCTTCTGATACACTCTTTTACTCTGTCAAGTAGAAACAACAAAAGAAAAACCATTTCCATCCTGTAAATATGTTCAGGAGTTTTCACTATGTGTGGTCTAGGTTCATGGGAGGTTTTGCAAGGCTGGGCTGGGAAATTTGTCAAGTTCCTTTAAGAATTTGAACAAAACTAGATAAAGGGTGTGAAGTATATAGAAAGCACTATCTCATCCAAGATGTCTCAAAGTGAGGAGTAGTGTTAGAAGTGTATTCTAGGTATCTAGGTGTTCATACATCTTAAGAGAATATATAGTGTATAATATGCCACTTTCATGGTTTGTTACTGCAAATAGAACATTCCTACACTAGATATCATGATATAATGAATAGCAGGGATTTTGATGGGTTTGATTTACGGATGCGGCTTCCAGCAGTGGTGAGCAAATTACACAAGGCCATTAATTCTAATGGCGGTGTAACTTATATACATTGCACAGCTGGGATGGGAAGAGCTCCTGCAGTCGCTGTAAGTCTGCTTATTTAGAAAATTACGCTAGTTTGTTGTGTCAAAATGGCGTAAAATTTTGGGTGCTAAAATCCATGTTTTTGTGTCTAAATTTCATAGTGACTTTTTCAGCCTGTCATTTCTACCATATGCTAGATGATAGCGTAGAAGACTACAGCTATAGAAAATATTGCATATAGTTCTAGCTTCAGGTAAGAAGTTATTTGTCACAGGCTGGGTGGCTGCTGGCATTGTTCTAACAAATGTTTTTGCTCATATTTTGAACTTTTTGGTGTTATTATCAATCACAAACTGGTTAGATAGCCTGTAATGTTTATTGTTTCTCTTC